TTCTGATTGTCAAATATGTAAATCTATATAACTTTATATACTTTACAAATTTTTACTATTATCTGTGCTTATACTCATTTGCAAGAAAGATTGGCTTATCTTTCCATCCCCTGGGAATTCTGTGAAATGTATGAGGCAGGTAAAATTTAGATCATATTGAAGTTTAGGGCTATTATAAGTAGAGTTAGGAAACCCAGAAAGATAGCGTGGCAAGAGCTGAGGGGTGTATAAAATTTTCAACCTCTCTTACCTTTTAATATTAAAAAAAGTAGTGTTTAGTACACTGAAATCTGTTCAGCTCGTGTCTCAGAAGACATTACAGATGAATGTAAGTCCTAGCAAACTGCAAGAACCTCTAAACATCCACCCATTCACTCAACAGTTATTTATTATTGGCTGCATTTAAGTCACTCTCCAGAGTACTGAAGAGATGCTATCATTAAATCAGAGTCAACCTGAAGGGATGTCCTCATCATTGTACCACTAGACAGTGAGCTCTTGATGGCAGTTTATGTCTTAATCTCCACACCTAGTATAGGGTCACATGGAAGGCTCTCATTTGATAGATTTTGAATATATTTTCACATAGGTCAGTCTTAAGGCTGATATAATTTGTTATTACTAATTAAAGCCACTTACAGAACAATTAAGGCTTTTTGCTAAGTGCCTTTAGATATTATTTCATTTGGTCCTCCTGGAGTTTTCCAATAACTATCTATTAAATGGCCAGCATTAATCCTAGTTTAATGAGAAGGTTTGTGATTGGTTGAATGTCACATAGCTACTAACATCAGAGGCAAACTTGGGGGACACATCTGTCAAATTTATTCTTCCTATGGTCCTCTAATTTCTCTTCCTTATCTGCAGAGGTTAAGATTGTGGGCTACAAATCCAACCTTATGGGGTTTTGGATTTCAAATCCAGTACTTGCTGTGAGTATTCAACCAGCCACTTAACTCTTTTAAGACTCAATTTCCTTATACGCAGAAAAAAAAAGTTAATGTATATCTCATAGGGCTACTGTGAGAATTAAAGGAGATAGTTCATATGAATATGCTTGTCATGTGATAAATACTTAATGAAAATGAGATACTTTATTAAGCTGAAGAACCTGATCTATTTTGCCTCTAAAGTAATTTTGAACTACATATTACATTTTAGAATTTACAAATCATATATAGTACATATACATGTGGTGTGTTGCATCCACACAATACCCACACATAATCCTTCTTTCCTTTCTCCCATTTCTTTTAAACATGCTGGATCTGTAATCCACGGCCTCACCCATGCTAAGCAAGTGCCCTATCATAGAACTGTATTCAAAGCCTCATATATATGTTCGTGTTATTTCTTTCTAATCATATCAAAGTAGGCCAAGCAATAATAATTTTATGTTAGACAAACAATGGTACATAGATAATTTGCTCATAATCTCATAAACAAATACTAATGGAATCAGGATGTGGAACATGAGTCTTCTTGCTCTTCCTGTGCTCCTTATACTCTATTGTATTTCCTTATTTGTGCAGGATATAAAATGAGGGCACAATATCTCTGTGTGTGTAAATCATTCTCAACTATAAGACTAGAAAGTACTTATAGGGAAAGTTTGAAATCTCCTGCCCCATGGCTGTTTCACAATGTGACAGAATATAATCAGTTTATGATCATCTAGACGAACTTTATAATTGCAGGAAAGAGTTCAAATCGAATTACTTTTACCTTTCTAGTTTTTGGGTCTAGGAGACCAAATTTTAAAATAATTTTGTATGCACTTTTAAGCCTTTCCTATTGTGAGTCATGAAGTCAAAGCAAGGAAGCTCAACTTCAAGGCAAACACACCATGGAGGAAAATGAATGAGGGAGCAGTCCCCAACTTGGCTCATCTACATTCCCACAGATTGTACTCCTAACAAGAGAAGTGGAACATAGTATAGGTTCTCGTTAGGACAATAGATTTGGGGATGGAAGTTGCATCATGATTATACAGTAAGAGCCTTCTTGTACACAAATAACAGACTCACTGAGAGAGAAATTAGGGAAACAATTCCTTTCAAGATAGCACCCAAAAAATGAAGTATCTAGGAATCAATCTAATGAAAGAAGCAAAAGACCTCTACACTGAAAACTACAGCAATCCGAAAAAAGATATCGAAGGGGATATAAGAAAATGGAAAGATACCCTCGATCCTGGGTAGAAAGAATCAGCATAGTGAAAATGGCCATACTACCAAAACTGCTATACAGATTTAATGCAATTCTGATTGAAATTGCAACACAAGGGCCAGGGATTTAGCTCAGCGGTTTGGTGGCTTGCCCGAGTTCAATCCCTGGTACCAAAAAAAAAAAAAAAAAATAAAAAAGAAATTGAAACACTATATTTCACAGAACTAGAAAAAAGAATCCAAAAATTTATTTGAAACCAGAAGACCTAGAATAGCTAAAGCCATCCTAGGCAACAGACACATGGCAGTGAGTATAACAATTCCCAATTTGAAACTATACTACAAAGCCACTGTGATAAAGACAGCAGGGTACTGGCAAAGAAATAGGCCTGAGGATCAGTAGAATAGATGGGAAGATACAATAACAACTCCAGATGTACTCAGCTACCTCATATTTGACAAAGGAGCCAACCATCCTTACTGTAGGCAAGATAGACTCTTTAATAAATGGTGTTTGAAAAACTGGATGTCAACCTGCCAAAGATTAAAATTAGACCCTTATCTTTCACCCTGCACTAAACTAAAATCCAAGTGGATTAAAGATCTAAATATTAAAAAAAAACAAAAAAAACAAGCACTAAACTTACTGGAAGAGAAGTTAGGCAGAACTCTTGAAGACACTGGGGTAGGAAAAGACTTTATGAACAAATACTCAGTAGCACAGAACTAGCAGAAAGAATCAACAACTGGGATCTCATTTTATTAAAAAGATTCTGTCCTGAAAAAGAAACCATCAACAGAACTAAAAGACAACCTAAATTGTGGGAAAATATTTTTACCAGCTGCTCCTCAGACAAAGGACTACTATCTAGACTATACAAAGAACTCAAAAAAATCAGCCCCCCAAATATAAAGACCCCATTCAAAAATGGGCATCAGAAATGAACAGACATTTCTCAGACAAAGAAGTAAAAGCAGCAAGTAAATACATGAAAATATGTTCCACATCACTGGTCATTCAAGAGATGCAGATGAAAACAACACTGAGATTCCACCTCACACCACAAAGAATGGCTGCTATCAAGAAATCAACCAGTAACAAATGTTGGTGGGGTTGTGGGGAGAAAGGAACCCTTCTCCATTGTTGGTGGTAGTGCAGACTAGTGCAACCACTATGGAAATCAATATGGAGATACCTCAAAGAGCTTGGACTGGAGGTTCCATTTGACTCAGCCATCTCTCTGCTGGGTATTTTTCCAAAAGAAGTGAAAGAATCACATCACAGTGATGTATGCACACCCATGTTTATAGCGGCACAGTTTGTAATAGCTAAAACTTGGAAACAGCCCATTTGCCCATCAAATGGAGAGTGGATAAAGAAGATATAGGCTTTTCCTATAAAATGGAATACTACTCAGCCATAAAGAATGAGAAATTAGAGTCATTCATAGGAAAATGGATATTGAGGATATATTCCTAAGTGAAATAAATAAGTCACATGTGTATAAATACTGAATAGTTTCTCTGGTGTGAAACACTATAATGGTACATATGATCCTAATGATATAATTAACAATGTGAAATAGGAAGAAAAGTGCAAATGGTGTAGGAGAAATGGGAAGGGTAGGGGAAAGGTAATAAGGAAAAGAAAAAAAACATGAGAAAATGAAAAAATGTCAATGAAGTATTTGTAAATAGGGAAGGGAGGAGGGGGCGAAGGGAAGACAGTGATAAGGAGAAAAATAAATGAGAACCAAGACCTGTCATGTAAAGGTACAAGATCCCAATGATGAATGTAACTGTACCATATACCTAAAATGTACCAGTAAACTCAATGAGAAAAAAATGATTACACAGTAAATCTCTGATCAGTAGCAAAGTCATCCACACAGACAAAAATACAACAGTACCTAGGGGCAATATGAAATACACTTTTATGAAACTTTCGAGGCTTCCATTACTATTTATGAACTTCATTTGCAAATTCAAGATGCAAACAGGATAAATGAGGTTACATATGCTGGTTCATTAATTAGTAAAGTAGAGCAGATATTTAAGTTCTTGTTAGTAATTTTGCCTTGGTGTTTGTTTTGTGCTGTCCAGTTTTTCTCCAGAACCTATACTGTGGAAGATTAGTATTTGGTTGCATATAGTCATGAATCTTATACACAAGAGGTTCTTTAAGCAGCTTTGTTTAAGAGATAAATAGTGACACATGGTTCTCCACATTTCAGGCTCAGAGTTTAAAGGCACTGTGAACCCCTGCTATAATGGGTTTTATATATTGCTATGTGGGTTTTCTACCAAAATTAAGAAAGAGGAGTGTATTTACCAGAAGGTATTATGAGCTCAGAAAAATAGAAACATGTGGATCTTAAATGATATAAAATGAATTATTCTTGTTAGTGTACCGAAAACTATTTCAGTTTGAAGAATTCTAGAAAAGTTTTCTGCACATTTGAAACAGAAGAGGGCTGTTGTTTTTTACCGAAAGTCATTTGACAAATGACTTATCTGTATTTTATCATCTTATTATGTGTAGAGAAGTGTAGTTAAATCTGTAATTAATAGAGAAAGGAGATTGCACTGCTACTCAGCTGCCTTTTTAATATTTGCTTGGTAGGTTGAAGCTTTACCTGGCATCAGTCTTTCAATAGATTGAAATTAATATCTCTAAGTCCAACTCTAACCTAGGAGTTTGCTGTTATCTGATGGTATGTTAATTGTGCTACATGAGTTGTAAGCCTTTTCCCTTGGCACAGAGAGTTCATTAGGCTGTCTATGAGGTGAAAAAAAGGAGCAGGAAGCCAGTGCTAGTTATTCATTGCCTTATGACTCAATTCTAATCACTTCTGCCTGTGTGACTGACAGAGAAATGCTCTCTGCTGTGATTGAGGGTATTGATTTCCCAACCCCTTTCGGGGCACACTGGAGAGACACAATCAGAGGCTTCAGCTTTCAAAAAACCTCTTCATCTGCCTTAATCACCTGATCGATAATCAGCATCAAGACTGGAGATCTTCAACAAAGCCTCCTCCAATGTCTTTATTTTCTTTCTTCCATTGGGCTACAGATGTGCTGAGTCAAGGTGATCTTAACAGATCTGAAAGTGAACAGCAAGCAACAACAGTAGCAGCCGTTAGTGACAGTTGTTAAATCTAAAAGTTCCCATTGCAAAAAAAAAAAAAAAAAAAAA